TCTGCCCCTAAGTGAATTCTTGATCAGCCTTCAACCTTAGCAATGGTGTAAAAGGTTCCAATCTCCCAGATAAGTTAGAAATAAACCTCCTAATAAAATTTACCTTGCCGATCAACTTTTGCAACTGTTTCTTTTCTTCTGGAGGTAGAATTTTCTTGATTGCATTAACACTCTTCTGAGTTACCTCAATTCCCCTCTCATGAACAAGAAAGCCCAAAAACTGCCCAGCCGATACGCCGAAAGCACACTTAGTGGGATTCATCTTCAGGCCATACTTCCTCGTCCTCTCAAAAACCTTCTTCAAATCGGCTATGTAGTCCTCCACCTTTTTTGATTTAACAACCACACCGTCAATGTAGACTTCAACCAACAAACCGATCAGATCATGGAATATATAATTCATGGCCCTTTGATATGTTGCCCCAGCGCTCTTCAAGCCGAAAGTCATCACAACCCACTCAAACAAACCGGTTGCACCAGGACATCTGAAAGCAGTCTTGTGAATGTCTTCTTCTGCCATAAAAAATTGATTATAACCTGCATTGCCATCCATAAAACTGATAATCTTGTGCCCCAAAGTAGCATCAACCAATTGATCAGCAATCGACATTGGGTACTCGTCCTTAGGGGTAGCCTTGTTTAAATCTCGAAAATCTATGAACGCCCTAAGCTTGCCGTTCTTCTTGATGACCGGGACTATGTTTGAAACCCACTCAGTGTATCGGCACTGCCTGATAAAGCCAACATCATACAATCGAGTTACTTCGGCCTTGATAGCATCATACATATCGGCGTTGCATCTCCTTGGAGGTTGTTGATAAGGTTTGTACCCTGGTTTGATAGGAAGCCGATGTTCAACAATCGATCGGCTGAGTCCTAGCATCTCGTAATACTCCAAAGCAAAGCAATCTCTATACTCTTTCAAAAGCTCTATCAACTTGGTTCTGAACTCTGCCAATAAATTCTTGTTGATAAATGTCGGCCTTGGCCTATCTCCTGGGCCTATGTCAATATCTTCTAAACCATCAGCCGACATGAAACCCTGTCCCAGTTTGCCATCGAGATCATCCACCGTGTCCTTGGTGTAGAAATTTGAACCCTGCACGACGCCCTTAAAATAATAATTTGGGGTCTCCATCTTCAATTGGCTGTATATCACAATCGGACACTTTTAGAAAATCTCCATCCCAAACTTTTCCAGACAGGCAATCAATCCCATCCATCTCCCAAAGAGCTAAATTGACACTAGCAACATTAACTGACCTGTCGGCTAGCACGATCTCAATCTTGTCACCTTGCCATTGAATCACGCACTGATGCATGGTCGAAGGAATACAACAATTAGTATGAATCCAATTCCTTCCAAGCAACAGGCTATAGGAACCCTTCCCATCGATGAAAAAAAATGTTGTAGGGATAGTCTTGCTGCCGACTGTCAGCTCCACATTCAAAACTCCTTTGGTCTCCGATGGATTGCCACCAAAGTCTTTGAGAAACATGTTTGTCTTGATGAGATCATCTGAAATTCTGCCCAACTTCCCGAATGTAGCATATGGCATCAAATTCATAGCAGCCCCACCATCGACCATCATCTTGGACATCGGCTTCACATTGACATAACCGTTAACATACAACGGCTTGAGATGCCGATTTTCTGTCTCCTCTGGCTTATAAAAAATAGCTTGCTCTGGCGACAAAATCAATGTAGCAGAGGCGTCCTCAACTTCATCAACATCGGCTTGCTTGGCTTCGTACTCCGCAGGTAAGAAAAACACCATATTTACCGATGCAGATGCAACACTCTTTCCTTTGGCCAACCTCTTTGCCTTGTCGGCTTTAACCTCATCGGTTGTTGCAACCTTGCTCTTGACACGCCACTCTTGCCTAGGCTTTGTCCTTTTCAGCCGATGGTTGATTTCCTGTTCCACCTCCTGAAAACGCTCCCTGTTCCTCATCCGCTGAACCCTTCTCTTTTGATTCTTTGTGAAAATACCAGAAGGGCACCATTGTGTCTTCCTGCCCTCGTCCTCATCTTGATGACGATCTTGATTGACCGGGCCCAACCTTTGATGAACATGAATTCTTTTTTGACTCAGCCGATTGCTTCTGTTGTAAGATCGGCTTGAACTCCCTGCACTATCGCTACATCCAGGGCAATCTTCAATCGATGGTAGTCTCATCCCCTCATTCCAGCAAAATCTGAAGAACTCACAACCCCAATGAGGATCGAAACCATCATCATCTTGCTCGTAGTATTTCGCCTGTTGCTTATCATGCCTTTTCCGATATTTATTGATAATCCTGGCTGAATTCAACTGAGAACCTCAAGTTTTCCCTCCATCGGCTGCTCTCCCAGCTGTATGCACCATGTTGACGGGGAAAGGATGTCCATCTACCTTCATCGGCTTCTTAGAATCATCAAATTTGATCTTTCCTCCCTCAATGGTTGTTTGGATCTGCTGTCTAAAGACTTTGCAGTCATTGGTGGAGTGGGAACCAGAATTGTGCCACTTACAATACTTTCTTTTCCCTAGTTCCTCAGCCGATGGGATTATGTGGCCAGCAGGAAGTTGTATTTGCTTCTCCCGAAGTAGCAAGTCAAAAATTTTATCAGCTTTAGTAATATCATTTAAGCAACACCCCATCTTCTGTCGATATATAACCTTGAAAACATCTTCATCGGAATCGGCTGCGTCACCTCTATCAGCTGTATCGGCTGTCCTCTGTCCGATCCATCTCAGCCGATGCAGACTCCAGCCGATGCATTCGCAGTCGATGCACACTCTGTTCTTCGAATCGATCTCTTTATCGAATCCGCCTCGATCCCAATGTCAAACCTGGTTCACAATTTACCAAATTTGATCGTCAACAGGTGGCGCTCTCCCCTTGCACAGATCCAACAACAGCTACCATATCTCGTCACGACGGCGGCGACCTCAGCAATGACAGTGGGCGGGAGCAACGTGCACCGCCGTTGGGAGCGGGCGAATCTCGAGAGTGGCGATGGGCGGGCGGCCGGCGTGCTAGGGTTTGGGATTGTGCAACCAGCAGCGGCGGAGCTGGGTTTTCTTTTTGAGAATTTTATTTATATATTTTGTGATTTTTTTTGTTTTTGCATGTGGTTGGCTTAAATGCCCGCATGCGAAAATCAGATTTTCGCATGTAGATTTTTTAGACCTTTGAGCTCATGTGGGCCATTCACACGCATGCAAAGATCGATTTGGGCCATATGAAAAATGAAATTTGTAGTAGGTGTCTCTTCTTCAAATTCAGATAAAGATATTTGTTAAACAAAAGTCTGAAATGTGTGCACTGACCAAGTGACCATAGAGAATAAAATGCTCAATTCAGTAATAAATATGGGATACGTTTATTCTAATTCCTAAATAAAAGATACCAGTCTCCAAAATTTTCAGCATGCATGTATCAAATCTACATGACGAAAGAGCTAAATCAACCCCCATTATTTGTATATGACTTAAATAGTTATAGAATAAATTGAAAAAAATAGTAACATAGATTGTGTTGATATTAGTCTATACATAAACATGTATGACTAAATTTGATCTACAACTAGAGAAATAAAAATAATAAAATCAGACAGTGAATAGTACTCATATAGATAAAATTTGTTATTTTTGTTTCTACATATGTCTATCGAATTTAGACTTGCATATTCGTATAGTGTCTTATATTATTATAGTCCATCTTATCAAATTTTACAAACATACATGACTAAATTTGTTCTACAATTAGAGAAACAAAAATAACAAAATCAGACAGTATTCACTACCCATATAGCGCAAATAAAATTTGTTTTTTTTCTTCATATATCTATCGAATTTAGACTCATATGTTTATATAGTGTCTTATATTATTATAGTCCATCATATTAAATTTATAATTTTTTATATAACTGTTTAAATTACATGCATAAACCTAGGTTTAGAAAATACTTTCCACAGCACAGTTAGAATCTGAAATGTTCTGGCAATGTATCTTCTGAAATGTAGAAGCTAACAACTGCACTAATTTGAATACAGAAGCCCAGATCAAGCGAACTAATCAAATCAATATTGCAATTCTGCACAATGCTAATTAAGAGGAAGCGAGCTGAAGATGCACAGTACTCTCTCCGTACTCGTAAAGGGAGTCGTTTTGCATAACGACACGGTCTCCAAAACACAACTTTGACTTCTTGTTTCTATAAAAATATTTATTGAAAAATGATATATGTATACTTTTATAAAAATATTTTTCAAGACAAATCTATTCATATAATTTTTACATTTTCAAACTCAACAACTTAAGTGTTATTTATGATTTATAATCCTAAAGTTTGATTTAAGCATTATTTTAAACGACTTCCTTTACGAGTACGAAGGGAGTACAATTTATCAGTGCTCCAAGCACAGAGTTTGCAAATGCAATCAAAGAGACAATTAGATTGATCATTTATGTGTTAATGAAACTGCTTGTTGATAATTGCAGTGCTACTACGTACTAGTGGCAGCGGCATGGTAATTAATGGAGCCCGGGAACGTGGCACGCTGGTTGCTGGCAATTAGGTGGACTCCTCGTCGGCGGCACGTAGTCTTCGTCCCCGGCGACGGCGGTCACCGCCGCGTGGATGACGAGAGAGGTGGCAGCGGCGACCGCGCGCGGCGACGTGCGGATCGATCGGCTGCTGGCTAGCGGCGTAGCGCACGCCGCACGCTGGCCACCCACCTCCACCTCCGCCGGCCGGTACGTTTATCCACTGACCACTGGCATGCACGGCGAGGCGCCGCGGTGGAGGCGAGTGGGCGACACGTGGGAAGTGGAGCCGACGCGTCAGGACGAGGAGGAGCTACGCCGACTACGAGAGTAGTCGGGGTGAGCTGGGTTGCCGAGGCTTTCCGGAGCAGGGAGAGGGAGCACGAGGCACGCGCACCCACCACTCCAATCGAGTGCCCACGCAGCCACGCTCGATATCATCCCCCTCTTCGCTTCATTAATTCCTTCTTCGATTCATTCCTCACGCACACACACTCTACTACTAGTATGAGTAGTGAGGAGTAGTGAGTAGTATCATCTCTCTCTGTCTGTATCTTCACCTGTATCTACTCAAAAGGAGTGAAAGGGAATAAAATAGATTGGGGGGCACGGTGAGCCGGCCTAAAGACTCCCAGTGAAAAAAAACCCAGACCCTTTTATAAACCCTGTGCCTGCCTCCTCGCCAATTCGCCGTTGCAACAAACCAAACCTTAGCTCCTCTCGCTTTGGCTTCTCACCCCGCACAGCCAACTCTTCCCGTCCATCTCAATCTCCACTGATAATCGAGACACAGGCCATGCCGTGGGTGCGCTTCCTCGTCCGGTTGGTCGTCTTCTTCCGCGTCATCGTGTGAGTAGCGCTCTTTTCTTCCCATCACCCATGGCTGCATGCAGCTCTTGTTAGACATTTGACGCGCGCCATTAGTGCAATGAATAGCTAAAACGATCGATCGTGTTTCAATTTACAGGTGAGAGCAAGCTAAAGCTACTCGATCCGTCGATCGGCCGGCGGTGACTGACTGAGAATGTGCATTGGTTTCCAAGGGAGCAGGAGGAGTAGCAGCGAGACGAGCGCCGCCGACGCGGTGATGAGAAGTGGCGCCATCGCGTACTACCACACGCTGACCAAGGTTTGCCAGGTGCTCGATCATCGCATGTATTGCCTCTCTATCTCAGCTCCTTGATTTTTTTTCCCCCTCAATTTTCCCTACTCTGCTAGAGTAGTTCTACTCTCGTTAACGTCTCTGTTTCTGTGGTGTTTAATAAGTCCTGTCTTAATTTTTTTTTGACGCTAAGTCCTATCTTAATTGAGAGAGTTAATCGCATGCGTGCATATGCATATGCGTTGGGGGGCAAAAAGAAGAAAACGTTTGGCATGTCAGTGTTAAAGTGGCACGTCCTGTTAGCTTGTTAGTCTTCTGATGACAACAACCGTAAGTCAAGTGTCGCACAAGGTGATATTGCTTGTGCAGCTGTCAAGCTCGCGTCAACCAACCATATCTTATGACCTCTTACTATTTGTGATATATTAACTGACTCAGCCACATTTCCATGGACACACTGAGTATACTGCTAAACAGAATTAATTAAGTTCTCTGTTGTGCTGAACCTCTTGAAGACTTGTTGCGTGTCATGTTGTTGTTAACTTGGTATGGTGTTGTGCCACTGCATGCCCACTCCTGGAGTAGATTGCACGGCATGCCAAACAAACATTGCGCCCGATCACGCGCGACTTTGCCTAGCTAGCTAGTGCATTTTGCTTGCACGCGCTCAGTCCGGATCGCGGCGTGCCCTTCTTTTCCCAAAAAACGCTACTAAAATTAGGCCGCTTTCCCCCCTTCTCTCCCTGCTTGTGTTCACAGCAATAGCAGCTCGGGTTGGCTTGGGACACTTAAAATATTGGAGCAGAGCAGCAGCAGCAGTAGTAGGCACCACTATGAATTGCAAGTTGCCTTGTCCCCTGTTTGCACTCTCACGAAACCGTTAGTTCTGTGCACATCTTTCCGGGCATGCCCCACCTTGTGTGGACAACAGTATGTTGTATGCAATGTGTGTGTGGGGTAGGCCAAAGTTGGTGGTACTTGCAAACAAAAAGTCGCTTTAATCTCGCACCAGTTGCTTGACCACTACAGGAACCGAGATGCGTTGCCATTTTGCCTATTCTGATGATGCCATGATCTGGGGTATATTTCTGATGTGTTGTTTTGGATTTGTGATCGTGCAGGCCGAGTACTTCCGTCACCTTCTCAAGCCCGTGACGTAGGTTGACCAGTACATAATCCTCCTCCCTTCTTCACCCGACGAGAGAGCTAGCTGCGCAGCTTCTCTCACAAGGAAAAAAACAGAGGAGACAAACAGAGTTTGGAAGTTAAGAGCAGAAGAAGATGCAGGGAGACCACGGGTACTACGGCGGGAGGGACTCGCCGCCGCAGGGGTACGGCTACGGCGGCGGCTACGGCTACGGAGGCGGGTATGGCTACGACGCCGGTGGGTACTACTCCGGCGGCGGCGGCGGCTACCCGTCGGCTGGGGCGGCGGCGGCGGCGTACGAGGACCCGATGGTCGGGAGGAGGACGCACGACTTCCCGGCGCCGATGAACGAGCTGGAGTTCCAGCCGTCGGCCACGTGCCCCAAGAACTACGTCATCTTCGACCAGACGTGCACCAAGAGCCGGGTCATGTTCCACCCCTCGCTGGCGCACAAGTTCGGCGGCGGGTCGTCGGCGTACGACAACAACGTGTACGGCGGCGGCGGAGCGCACGACGCCGCCAAGGGCGCGTACAGGGACAGCGTCGGCTACGACGACGACGACAGCTGCTCGGTGCGGCAGAAGGAGGACACGGACGAGATCGACGCGCTGCTGAGCTCGGAGGACGGCGACGAGGACGACGTGGTGAGCACGGGGCGCACCCCGGGGTACCGGGACGGCAGCTCCCCGGACTCGACGTGCTCGTCCAGCTACGGCGGCGGGCAGGCGAGGCCCGGGCGCAAGAAGGAGCGCATGAAGAAGATGGTGCGGACGCTCAAGGGCATTATCCCCGGCGGCAACCAGATGGACACGCCGGCCGTGCTCGACGAGGCCGTCCGGTACCTCAAGTCTCTCAAGGTCGAGGTCAAGAAGCTTGGCGTGCGCGGCTCCGACAACTGATCATCATCATCTCCAACACCGGCAGAACGGAGGAAACAAACAAACAAAAAAAAAAGAGAGGCAGCTGCAGCGGCAGCAACAGCACCAGCAGTCAGCAGCAGCGATCGAGTGCTACTACTGACAGTACACTGCATCTGCATGCACGACATGTACCCTACTCCATCATCCTCCATTTCTCCATGCCTTGGGTCGGCATTGGCATCGCCAAGCTAGCCATAGCTAGTTGATGCCCTTTTCGCAGTGCCATGATCTGGCCAAACTCTTTTTGTGCGCTCTACTTTTGGCTACGGGCTTTATGCTCCGTCCATGATGAGAGAGGGAGCATGGGAGGGGGCAGAGGAGAGGCAGCGATCATCATCAATGTACTACTAGTACTAGCTAGTGCTCATTTGCTTTGGGTGTACTATAGTAGTAGTGGAGAGATGATGGATATGGATTATGGAGTTCTAGTTAGGCAGAGGAGAGGAGAGGGAGAAGGGCAGCATTGCAATCGCATATTTGCATGCTTTGGCTTTGTCTGCTACTACTCCTCTTCATTTGTTGCCTTGCTTGCTTTTTTCCTTTCTGCCCCTGCCATGTGGCCCCCCCTTCCCCTGCTGGATGAATTATCCATTGATGATCCCCTCCTTCGTTAGCTTGACGTGTTCAGTTATACTGGTTACTGTTTCTGCCTTTGTCTTGTTCCATTTGGTCTCTCCATCCATCGATCCATGAACTAGCATGATGCCATGATCCATGCATGCATGGATGGATGCACTGCTGGTGCTTACACTCTCAATATGCCATCATTGTGACGATGTGTGGGTGTGCTGCTAGCTCATGATGGCGATGGCACGTTGCCACCCCGTCTCCCGTGGGTATATGTTTGTGTGCATGCTTTGCTTGCTTGTGTAATGCACAGCATGTTCATGTTGGGGTTGGCACTAGCGGGAGCCTGCCTTTTTGGCGAGAAGTGATCGAGCAAGCATCGATCCCATCCCGGCCGTCTCTCGCCCCCTTTTGTTCTAGCTAGCTAGTGCTCGAATCCCACACGGGAAAAGGGGGGTTTAGCAATGTCAACTTGATGCATGCTTGGTAAAAGTTGTCCTAATGATGCTCATTAACTATTAGTTGTTCCTGCTAATTAACTCCATGGATCTGGTCTTAAAGCACGGGGATGAGTAGCGTGTCATTTGCTTGTTGATGTTCAGATCAGAGGATGGGTTTACGAGTAGTAAGCAGCTTTTTAGGGATTAATTCCCTTGGCCAATGATTGGACAAGAGGCTATATGTTTCTTGGCGTACTAGTAGGCTTTCTGCATGCTTTGAGTGCCACGATCTTGACCCAAGCTTTCACGTAACAGTTGACAATTTCTACATCGCCATCAGGCCGTATCGGTCGGGCTACAGTACACCAACCAATATTTTAGCTTTGGTTACCTCAGCGAGTCAGGAGCCTCGTTCATTCGTTCTTTAAAGATGTGACTCCTGGCCTTTTTTTTTAAGTTCCAAACTTTTTTTAAAACTTTTAACTTTTTCATCACAATATTTTAATTTTAACCAAACTTTTAATTTTAGCGCGAACTAAACACATCATCTATTGAGGAAACTCCACCCAAACAGTAGCGATTTACGACACAATCTTTTTTTCTTTTTCTTTTTTTTTTTTTTTGCTGTGGATGAATGAGAGAAAGGGGGGAGGGAGAGATGAACTCTATTTGTCAGACCGCTCAGCTCAATATATGAGCAAAAAGTACTCGCAGAGTAGCGACATGAAGGGAGTATATATTTGTATTTTGATCTAGCACAATAGCCAGCATATTTGGGTTAGATTTACTTCAAAGCTTAGGCCTCCTTTGATTTGTTGGAAAACATTTTGAAACTTGGAGGATTTCAATACTATAGAAAAAAAATTCGTACAAAGGTCTTTGGAAAAAAGATTGAATCAAATGGATAATCCTACAACGATTTTGGAGGAACATTTCTTTTTAAATCTATATCTCTCATTCGATTCCTGCGGCTTAATCAAAGGACCATTCCTATGTTTAGCGAATTCCTATGTTTTACAATTCTTTATTTTGTACTTACGTTCATGTCAAAATCTTATGCTTCTTCTATTTCTATTTCTTTGTTTTCTCAATCTTGCGTTTGAAATGAACCCTTATAATTGCATATAAATTTGTTCTTTTGTCATCTTTGAATGGTACATTAGATTATTTGGTTTATCTTAGTCGTTACCCCTCCTAGTTTAATAAACTCTGTTTAATATTTGTCTTCCATATCTATATATACGATTATAAATTTGTAGTGCTGTGACACTAAGTGCAACCAAGTGCTATTATTGTCTACATTGGCCAGCTCGCCACCTTGCTCCAATTATACAAACCTCCTTTTCCTAAGTTGTCATTGTATGAACTTATGGTTGCATAATCTTGTATCTCTCTTTTCTAAGTTGTCATTGTCTAAACTTATGGTTGCATACTTGTATAGGTATTTAGTACATTGTTACTAGCCATATATGGGCATGTGTACTACATATTTTAAATAATTTATATATATATCAGCGTGGTATTTATTAATTCATTTAGAATTATTAAGTCATGGATATATTATAATTCAGATTACAACTAAGAACAACTCAGCATTTATTAATATCTATTTTCCAAGTATCAAGCCATAAAAACACTAATTGAAACTTGGGAAGTACAACCCAATATATTTATTTGCGGGGTACAACCCAATATTTATCAATTTCGAATTCTAGATTCGTTACCGAGTACAACTTGGTTTATATTAATTATAAATTTCAAAATTATTAAATCATACAAAAATATATAAAGACTCTAGACCAAGTACAACTTTATATTTATTAGTTTCAGGTTTTACGATTTCTAAACCAGGAAAAACAACAATTAGGAGCCCATTAGAAGTTGATTATAATCTTTGTGGTAGAACCTACCTACTCCCTTCGTATCAAAATATAACTAGCTTTAGATTGTTTAGATTATATGTAAAGATTAAGGAGAAGGGGTAAAATTAAGTAAGGATGATTGTCATAGGTTGAAATGAGTAGGCCGATGGAGAAATTAAATACGGAAATAGCTGTGATGGGTGAAGATGAGGAGGTAGGTAGAGCTATATTTTTAGAACAAATTTCGTATTCAGAAGGTACCTATATTTTGAGATAAATACTTGAGGTAAGTTTTTGACTCAGTAACAATGCTCAATAATTATTTTTTTAAGTAGTAGGCAATATGTTTGTCGGCAACAAGATGTATGTACGGTGATTTTGTTAATCTTGAAATATATGCTGCTTAGTCTTTCAGAGGTGTTCTTAGGGTTAGAATATGCATGTGTGTGTTCATATGGATGAATATTGCATTTTCAAAAAGAATAATACAATTAGATATTTAATATTTATGAATTTAATAAACTCATTTTGTGTGTGTGTGTGTAAGATTTCAATGGTAGATTTGATCGATGGATGAAGACAATATGATGTTGCCTTTTTTTTATTAACACAGGAATTTCTAGTTTTTCTGATTGAGAATTTCTATTTGACATATGGACGCATATGCATATATTAGGATAAATCTGGGTTTCAATAATTGGGAAAAAGAAAAAGAAAACACCGATTGGCGATATCGTGGTCCACTAGCCCTTTCCTGCGCCCTGCAGGTTGTCTTCGGAAAAGACGACCGATGTATATGCCATCCATTTGTTCCATTTCTTCCACAGGAGCACAGGACGCACGCATGCTAGTTAGCGTTCGGCGCCAGCCACGACGACACCAAAATGGCACCAGCTAGCATCGTGCAGCGCTATGTGCGTTCGCATCTATTCTACGCCGACCTAACAAAATTAAAAGTCACTTCTTTCACTAGCTACAAACACACGTACTCGTGCGAGTGATCCAGGAAAGCTCTCCGCACTGCTCTGCACTCGTGAAAGGAAATTTTGTTGGCGCGAGAGAGCTCCCCGCATTTCAACCGGTCGACCATCCATCTATCTATCAGCGCCCCGCGTGCGCACGCGACGCGATCGAGCTACCGAGATTTCCACCGGCCGGCCGCTACTATAGCATCGATCGATCCAACCATCGCATCCTCGGTGCGCGCCGCTCGTGCGTGCATGCCTCCATCCACACCGGCCACTATATTTGCAGTGCAGTGCAGATGGATAGCGCGCGCGCGTGCACGATGGGTGGGTGCTTCCGCCACTATTAGTTGCGCCGTTGCACGCACGAGTAGTACTACGGCCGATTAATGGAGGCGTACATCGATCCCTGCCGACGTCCACGCGGGATGGCTCCATCGATCGTGGCATGTCAACTCGATCGTCTCGAAATAAATTAATGTTTGCGTCCTTGTTTGGATTCGATTCCGCTGGCACTGCCTCGATCATTTTCTCTGTTTGTGAGTTGTGACCTGCACACGCACTGCATGCTTGCAGATGGTTGGAAGGATCACGTAGAGCTAGCTAGGGTGGTCCAGATCGGGACTTGAGATGAGATCACCGTGCACTGCACACGCGCACGCACGGGTGCACGGCCAAATCCATCCTGCTACTAGCTAGCAGCCACATCCATGCATGATCCATGTCTAGAACCTTCGATTGTGTCTTCACTCCGTTTTTTCTCTGCTCTCATGCACAGCCCACTCGCGCACAGCACAGTGCACCCGCAGCACTCGGCGAATTGAATGGCACACGGTGCGCGGTGCGCGCGAGAGACAGAGCACGCGCACGCACCGATCGAGTACGAGCGTAGCTAGTTCTCGGTTGATTCCACCGTACGTACGCCGGCCGGCCGGCAAATGCACGATGTAGTGCGGCAACGAGACGGATTAAGACTATCTGATTGTGAAGTTAATTAGAAGAATCGTGGTTTCCATCGTTCACAGGCCAATATATATATCAGTGACTAAGTTAAGAGAAAGTTCACGTCAGAGTGTGCGCTTTCTAATAACGAGATGTGCATGCGTATGTTGTGCGTACCGTCTTGTAGCTATCCGTGCCGGTGGATACGTAGTACGTAGTGCGACACAGCGGGGCGCCCACCCAGGCGTACGTAGTGCATGCGGCCGTAGTAGCACCTGCACGCAGGCGCGGGCGCGCGCGTGGTGATGGAGCGGCCCGATCGATCGATCCAGCCGGCCGGGGGACGTCGTACGTACGCCAGTGCGCGCACCGCACGCGGGCACGCGGCCCGTCGCACGTACGTCTCTCGATCCCTTCCGGCCGTCCGCCACGAACCGCGCGCAAGGCCCGTCACGTCTCCGCACTGTACGTGCGCCACCATCGATATCATCGGTTTAACAGGGTGCTGGGTATTGTGTTGATTGGCCAGCCACACATTCTCTATACCGGCCGTACGTGCCCTGGTTTTGGCACACAATATCGCCCTTTCACTTGCCAGATTGGGATAAAAACCTCTGGATTATACTGTGACCAATTAATTACCTTGTGAGCGTGAAAGAGCACGAGTCGCGTATAGCTGGCCATATTGGTTCTGCGCCAACGAATATGGAGGATGGGGGATGGCAACAAGCACGAAAGTAAACTTAGGGTGTGTTTGTGGAGAAGGTGATTAAGGGGACTGGGAAGATACGTAAAACGAGGTAAGCTATTAGCTCATAATTAATTGAGTATTAACTATTTTAAATTTAAAAAATGGATTAATATGATTTTTTAAAGCAACTTTAATATAGAAAATTTTTTTAAAAAACGCACCGTTTAGTAGTTTAGAAAACGTACGCACGGAAAACGAAACAAACAAACTCACTCTCTCACCCTTTCAAACGCTGCCTTAGCGCCAATGGCAGCTAGCAGTCCACCAAAAGCTTTTATATATATATGGGATTAATCGGATCACCAAAACCATATATACGTAGTGACGGTACGGGTGAGCATAGATTTCTCCTGTGTCACCGATGGTCGGCACGAAGAAAATGGCGCACGATCACAACTGGACATAAGGAAGAAATTCAAGTGGCTGGGTTGCAATGCACCAATTGTGGCACTAGGAGTATGTGGTGGTTCTTTTTCCCGATTATATGGGAATACTATACGCATACACAGACCATTACATAATACTCTCTATTTTCTTAATATACACGACGTAATTGAATTTTAGAAATATTTAATCATTTGTCTTGTTTAAAAAATACATAAATATTATTTTTTTGTTAGACTTATTTTAGCACTATTTTAATCATGACTTATATTTTTTATATATGTATAAATTTTTTAATAAGACACAAGATAATAAGTATATCCAAAAGTTAATGACGTTCTATATTAAAAAAGAAGTATTCCATCAACCAACAATTTCTTTAGGGCATATACAAATATAGAGTAATATTAGCTCTTTATACTAATCAATGTCATTAGAGACTATCCTCCTACAATAGTAGTATTGTAGGAGACTATAAGGTTTCTAAATCATTAATGCACTAAATAACTTTTTATTATACTTCTTTCCTTTTCTCTACGCTCATGCAACAAATTTTTTGTTAATAAATGCTAAAAATCAACTTTAAGCCGTTCTCATGCGTAGCAACGATATTTCTCATTCCTTCTCTCTCTTTATTCCACATCACTAAATTTACTTGCATGATAATGAAGAGAGCCCGTTATTAGACACCATTGTACATGCCCTTTTATACGTGTGATTAAATGTACTCCAACACCATTAAAATGGAGAGGTAAGAAACTCAGCACTTGTACATATCAAACAAAATCTCATGCACGCAAAGATTTTTCATACATCCATCCAAACATCTCATCTCACCACATTCAGGATCAACCAATCAAGTCAACCAAATAGCCTTCTTGCATCTACTCAGCCATGCTAAAATCATCCTGGATGACACGTAGAGTAAGGGCCAGGTTCAAATGGTTCAGGCAACAAAACAGACCCTAACCCTCTTAGCTTCCACTCAACCAGGCTCAAACCATCCTGGATGACATGCACGAGTCAGAATGAAGCGGTGCAGGCAATCAAATAGGCCAATAGAGAGCAGCTGATGGGATGGGCGCTTTAAGAATTGTGTTGTCATGAATTGGAGGGGCCTAGCGTGATGGATAATAGACATGATCTCATAGGACCATTTTTCCCCAATTTTCGTATATACATGTAACCATTTAGAGCACATTAGAAAGTACATGCGTTTCGATGCATTGCCAGGAAAAAAGAACGGGTATACATATCTAAACTTTCATTCAAGTATCACAAGGTAAGCAATTAACCATAGTCCTAAAACTTTCATTTCAACCACATTTTGGTATGGAAACACGCTATATCTGCACATACTTTCTTAAGGCAATGCACGTATTTGTTTCTCAAGACCAAAGCTACAAGTCTATAACACTACAATAACAAGAGTAACAAACACACTTTCTCCTCGGGTCAGTGTTACGTCAATGAAATAAACAGAACTCCAATGTCCAAGCTTAATCTGAAACATGTTACTTCATCGACATGTTAACTTAATCTGTTCTTTAATTATTTTACAAAGGTAGGGGGAAACTGGTTTTATCATTTAAATGAACCAAGCAATTCTCCTGTTTCTGTTACCTGCCTGAATATATTAAAGTTCCTGTAGAAGTATGCACAAATTATTTTGACTTTTTCCAAATAGAACTCATGCCAAAGTATAGCCACCCTTTGACAGGAAAACATGTTATCGTTCTAGAGTATCAATTTTTCTGATAACTCACATTCAAACAACAAAAAACGTTAATATAGCATATAGACTGTCCAAAGCACAATAATACATAGCTAGAAATTCTGTATTTTTGTCTAGAATGTGAATCCAACAAAATCCATGCACAGTACAAGAATTCTGAGAACTAATCCATAGCTCCACACAAATTCCATTAGTATATATGTTTCTCACATTTTATTTTCTCTGCAAAGGTCTATTTTCTCATAATCATATCATTCACCCTTTTGCCTTACTACTATGGACATCAGATGATTAGCTTATAATTGTCTCATGAAACAATTCCCACAAAAATGTTTGGTAGAGCACCAAAGCCTAGAAGCTGCTTACACTCATTTCCCCCTTCTTCAATGAGGATCTAAAATCTGGGGTTAATATTAGAAACTTCGTGGCACAGTATTAAAATTTATTGCTTGAAAAATCTAACCTATGCTAGTAAAGAAAGAGAGTAACTAACCCAAGAAACTGGTAACCCAAATTGAAAAGCACAACATAATCTATATTAGCATGGATATTTGTATGAAAGGTTCTAGCACTACAAAAGTGTTATGGTAAGGTGAAAATAGCAGGGAACACAGACAGGACAGCATATGATAAAGTGAAAATAGGAATATTCAAACCATTGTTAACTTGTTAAGAGAAAAGTGTTTTGCAGCAAGCCAATTTCAAGCATTCAAAATGCAAATATGACCAGTATAAATCCCTAATAAACTACTACCTCCATCCCATAAAAATTGTATTTCTACTAGTGAATTAAGGACAGATTAGTAGGATAGAGAAATGACCACAATAACCTTATTTATTGAACACAATACATGCACACATTCCATATATAAATTTAATTAAAAGGAATGTTAAGACAACAAGTTAGAGATGTGATGGAAGGAATGGAGATTACAAGGAAATGTATTTTGATGTAATCAATTTGCTAGATCCCACATTAGTAGAAATACAATTTTTATGGGACAAAGGTTCAAAGGTAGAAATTCATTTTCTATGGGATGGAGGTAGTACAAAGTTTAGAGTTTGAATTATAAAAATCAAACATAAAACGGTAGGTTCACAATATCATGTAAAACCTGAACAAAAAAGTTATTACCACTACAAATTCAAAATCTCAACCGAGTGATCTATGAAGTTGAAATTAATCAGCATACAGTAGTTCCCAAGGTACATCATCTTGTAGGAAATTGGTTTTCCATAATTTCGGTATCGTTCCTAAACATATCATCCAGGCAATCCCACGTCATTCCTATAATTTATAAAGTTATCACAACTTCCCTATCTCCAAAAAAAATCCAATCGAGACAAGCAGTCTAAGATACACTTAGTTCCCACCTCATTCCTATAATTTATAAAGTTATACACTTAGTTCCCACCTCATTCCTATAATTTATAAAGTTATCACAACTTCCCTATCTCCAAAAAATATCCAATCGAGATAAGCAGTCTAAGATACAGTTAGTTAAAAACTCGTTGCTAGACATCTAGCAATTATCCCAAACTACACTGCTCCAATCAAAAGCAGAAAGCAGAACTAGATAGAGATAGCAGCATTTTTATGCAGTCACATTTCCATGTAAGGCCGTGTTTATTTCTATTTCAAAACGATAATCTTCAGATAACTAATTTAAACTCAAAATCATCCAGAATTTTACAATAACATCATTAGGAAGCGCAATAGTTCCTCAGCAACAGCAAACAGATCTAGAGGTAGAGAATCTTGTTACAGATCTGATCTAACGATCAAAGTAAAGAAGCTTGTTCCTCACCATAGGTAGCCCGGGATCTTGATGCGGAGGAAGAGCATGGCCATAGCGTACGCGATGACGATGGCGGCGACGCCGGAGCCACCGAAGGAGACGCGAAGGCTCCGGGGCCTGTTGCGGTCGACGGCGAGGTCGAGGAGGATGATCCCGATGCCGCCGATGACGAACATGATGCCGGAGGAGAGCCCCTCGATGATGTACTGGCCGTTGACGCGGCCGGGGAGGAAGACGACGGGGCGGACGGCGCCGGTGGCGGGGTCCTGGACGCTGCCGATGCCGGGGGGCTCGACGATGACGTCGTAGACGAGGCCGGAGACGACGGCGAAGTAGGTGAGGAGGATGAGGGCGAAGACGGTCATGGGGGAGGGGAGCGCCAGGTTGGAGGGCAGCCTCAGGCGGGTGCGCGGCGGCCGGAGGAAGGAGAAGGGGAGCACGCGGAGGACGTGGAAGAGGGGATCTATGGAGTCGAAGTCGGATCCGTGGGCCTGGGCGGCGGCCGCGCCGCCGGTGGCGCTGTCCGATCTGGGGGCCATGGCGTCGAGGAGGAGCAAGAGGAGAGAAGTCTCTGGGTTTTGGTGATGGGGGATTCTTGCGTTACCTCGCTTGTAGGGATGGCAATCGGGTGCGACGGGCACGGGTAGTGCCTACCCTTACCCATACCCGTGAGATTATCTATGCCTGTGGGTATACCAATTACTACATAAAGGGTAAGGATGGTTGCCCATGCCCATTGCCCGTGGACGCCTTATACCCACGGACGTGCCCGTTTACCCACCACAACAAAAGCAGTTGACAAAAAGTCTATAAGCTTCTAAAACATCTCGTGTCTCTTCTCTAGCGGCGATAGAGTAAGAAGAGAGAAATAATAAGAGAAATAAAAGGGAAACTGTAAAAAACAAAGAACACGGCTTATGTATTCTAGTGAATTTTACTCCAAGCCTACATGTAAATTAGATTTCGCGGGTAAACGGGCAAAGCGGGCATGGGTAGTGATGACCCATACCCATGCCCATTTACCCATCGGGCATAGCTTTTGACCCAATAAGATACCCATGGGTATAAAATAGAGAACAAACCCAACCCTAATAGGGTTTTTACCCACGGATAAACGGGCAAACGGGCACAATTGCCATCCCTACTCGCTTGTTCCATCTTCCCGAGAGAAATTGGACATTCTGCCACTGCCAAGAGTGGGTTTCGCCACAATGACATTTCCCGGAATGGCGTCGTTAAAATGTCATTTCCAACCGATGCCATACCGTTGCTTTGCTATATTCACCATTTCACAAGATTTTCACCATTTTTCCCACTTCAGCTGACCAAAATACCCCTCTCTCTCTCCTGCAGTTTTTCTTCTTCTCCTCCGGCGAACAAAAGAGGCGGCGCTGCTCGGGGATGGAGGAGGAGCGGCCGTGTCGCAGCGCCAGACTCGACGACGAGCCAGAGAAGCGCGGACGACGCGAGCCGGCGCAGGTAGTACGACCTGGCCCCCGCGCTCTCCCCGCACCGCCCCGTCTCCCCGCGCCTCCTCGGCACGCTCCTCTCCCGCCTCCCCGACGCGTGCCGCGGCGTCGCGCTGCTCGACCTCCTCGCGCCAGACCTCCCCACCTCCGCGCTCCTCATCCTGTACAACCTCCTGCTCTGCTCCACGTGCCGCGCCGGATGCTCCGCCTCGCCTCCGGCCTCCTCCTGGATATGCGGGACAGAGGGGTCGCCGCCAACGCGTTCTCGTACTCCACGCTCCTCGCGGCGCTCACCCGCGCGGGCCACCTCGACCACGCACTCACCTTTCTGCCACTCATGGAGGACGACGCCGTGGCTCCCGACCTCGTGCTCTTCTCCAACCTCATCCACCTCGCCCTCCGCGAGGGCGACGCGCCCAAGGCGCTCGCGCTCTTCTCCCGTCTTCGGGGCGCGGGGTGCCGCCGGGATCAAGCCCGACCTCAAGGCCTACAACGCCGCCATCGCCGCGTACTGCAAGTCCGACCTGCTCCGGGACACCAACCGGCTCCTCCTCCACGACATGCCCTCTGACGGCGTCGCGCCGGACGCGGAGTCATACTCCCCCATGCGCCGTGCTGGTGTCGCCCCGAGCGTGGTCACCTACAACACCATGCTCCGCGTGTACGGCGACGCCGGGCTGTTCGGGGAGGCGGTTCACCTGTTCGGCCTCATGCGCAGCGCCGCCTCCGATGGCAGCGACCGCGGTGGCAGCATCATCAAGCCGAACGTGGTGACGTACAACACCATGATCGCCATCTACGGCATGTCGCTGGGAGACGAGAAAGCCGGGAGCCTGGTGCAGGACATGCAAGCCAATGGCATTGGTGTCCAGAAGTTCAGATGAGAACCTCCAGTTTCTCTGACGACAAATTCAGGTGCCAGACATCAATAGACACCACACACCAGTAGTGTCACTGAAAATTCACCACACACCAGTAGAGAAGCGGGGACGACGCGAGCCGGCGCAGGTAGTACGCCTGCAGCGGGCGCCGCGCCGCGCTCGACCTCTTCTGCTGCAGAGCCACCATGGCCTCCGGCGGTGCTAGATCCACGCCACAGGGAGCTCGAGCAGTAGCTGCAACCTGGAGGCAACAGGCGTCGGGTGTCCCCGATGTCGCCGCGGCCGTGGCCTGGCCGGGGCGCGACACCGCCACCGCCGCCGCCGCTTGCAGTCACAGGCTAGCCAGAGCCAGGGCCGGAGCCGGGCCGCCGTGGCGTCGCCGGTGCTCGATTTCGTCTAGCTCGACATCGAGCTACACGTGGATGGAGATGTACTCGCCGATGGCCATGCTGCAGGCGTCGGTGACGAGGCCGGCTAGCCCGGACAGGAGGACGGTGCGCTTGTCGGCGGGGCGCGCCGCGCTGATGCCGAGCATGAGCGATGCGGTGGAGACGAGGCCGTTGCTGGCACCCAGCACCACGGCACGCAGCCACTAGGAGTGCACGCTGCCGCCGTCGTGGGTGGCTTCCTCTTCCTCCTTGGCCTCCGCCACGATGAGCTCGGCGTCGCCATTGATGGTAGCCATGCTTGTGCTTGTTGAGGAGAGAGCAGAGTGAGACGCGCGCCAAGCATACTCATCGGCGCTGCGCCGCTCCTCGCTACTGGCCAGCGTCACCGCCCCGCTCTTATCCTTCGCCGACACCTTCTCCTAGTCCCTCGTCATCGCGGCACACCGCCGCCGGCACTGCCACTGCGACGATGGCAGCCCAAGGTAGCCCGGGTGAGAAATTAGGTGGAAATAGAGTGAAATGGCTCAAATGGCAAAACAAATGTAAGCCAAGTCTTGGCAGTGGCATTTTAACGATGCCATTTCGGGGAATGGCATTGTGGCGAAACCCACTCTTAGCAGTGGCAGAATGTCCAATTTCTCTCTTTCCGAGCAGGCAGTGTACGATTGGCCCCTGGTAGGACATCCAAAAAGACAAAAAAAAAATTAACCGAATACAAAGGCAAAATTTACACAATGGTGGTGTTTGGGATAGTTTAATCTCTCTCACGAAAACATAAGTTCCTATAATAAGTTTCTTCCATCCCAAACACCACCTAACTTTAAAATTTTACTTATATGACACCGTAAAAGTAAATCTTTAGACTAACGTACTACCGAAAAATGTATATTTATCGAAAAACACCGTCATGCACTATTTTCTTCTTTGTGATTTGATTAGGAGAGATAAAATGGAGCAATTGCTCGTTTGACCCTGTTTTAATGTCTAACTACCAATATGACCCTGTTTTTAGGTTTGCTCATTTGACCCTGCTTTTTAAAACTAAAGATCAGAGATGACCTATTTTGTGAAGGATAGATAACGGTGTTAACTAAGAGAAAAATTGTCCTTTTTACCCCTGCTCAATTAACCATGTTAAATTTGGCATAGTTTTAACAAATTTGAGACAGATTTGTCTATCACTCATTTGTTCATTCTTATCCTCTCTCTCTCTCACGAGACCACTGCGAGGGGCAGCAGGAGGAGCGACGGCTCGGCGGCGGCTACAGTTGCGGAGGGGCAAAGGGAGGAGCGGTGGTGGAGGGGAAGCGTCGGGCCAGCGATGAGGAGGGCCGTCGCTGGCGGCAAAGGAGCGGCGGCGGCAACGGTTGCTGAGGGAGGAGCGGCGGTTGCGGCGGAGGAACTGCGGCGGGGGCAACTACGGAGGGCTGACAGCTGCGGAGGAGCGCCGGTGGTGGCTGCGAAGGGGCAGTGGCGGCTTAGCGACACCAGCAGCGGCGGTGGAGGGGAAGTGTCGGGTCAGCGACGAGGAGGGCCCGCATGCCGCCGTTGCCCCTCCCTCCCTCTGCTCCGAGCCCAGCAACCGCCGCTGCCGCTCCCTCCCTCCGCTCCGACCCTAGCACCCGCCGTCGCCGCTCCCTCCCTCCGCTCCGAGCCCAACAGCCGCCGCCGCCGCCGCTCCCTCCCTCCGCTCCGAGCCAGACAGTCGCCGCCGACGCCACTGCTCCCTCTCTCCGCTTCGAGCACAGCAGCCGCCGCCGACGCCACTCCCTCCTCCCGCGTGCCGACGCCACTGCTTCCTCCGTGCGCCGAAGCCGCTGCTCGCTCCCTCCTCGAGCGGCCGCCGCTACGCTCCATCGGCGCTCGGCCATCGCCGCCGCCGCCGCCGCTCCCTCCAGCCTCATCGACCGCAGCACTCGCTGTTTCCGGCGACAAAAAACTAGGGAGAGGTGAGGATTGGGATGGGGATAGGGTTAATTAGTAATATAGGGGTATTTTGGTCACTTGGGGGTAGTATTTATTTTTTCTAAATGATGTTCTAATGGTGAAGGGAAAACAGGGTCAAACGGAAACTTAAATTTTGAGAAACAAGGTCAAATAAGCAAACTTGAAAAAGTAAGGTCAGATTAGTAGTTGGGCTTCAAAATAGGGTCAAATAAGCAATTGTTCCAAACAAAATAACTATGACAAGAATGATCGCAATAAACATCGGTCGTACAACTGAATACATATAAAGATGACTGTGATCACGGTGAGAATCATAGTCCCCATGAAGATCATGGCAACTATGAGAATCGCAGCTATCACGGGAGTTATGAACGTATAAGATTCTGAAGTCCTCGGGAAGATAAAGGATGTTGTCCTCGGGAAGTCGTACCTAACCACAGTGATCCCTCCTCTCCATTATCATCTCAAAAGTCAGACAAACATTCTCAGAGACCTTCTCGGGATGATAACCGCCGTTCGGCTTTTCAACCTAGGGGAGGCCACAAGGCATTCATCCCTTCCTTGCGTAAGGTAAGGACCTATCATGAAGTACAACATACGATGGAAGTATAGACCCCAAAAATTTCTACCATGTCTATTCCACGGTCCTCTATTATGGGGTACACGGTACTCGGGTACTCGCGGTAAGGCTTTGGGCCAAGTAGCATAGGGTGGGCCGAGAGTCCTAGGCCCATGCAGCACACTTGTAAATTGAGTAAGAGATAGAGGATAAGGCAATCAATCATATTCCATGTAAATAGGTAGTAGGTATCTGGATTATAAGGGATACCATAACCCTAGTTCTATATAAAGGGCACCGGGAGAAACCCTAGGGGGTTACTCTTAGCGGCGTTGGCTAGGGGTAGCACGCTACGAGGAGGCGACGCTGGCCAAGGGCGATGGACTGTGAGGAGGTGA